GTCTGCTTGCATTGGTATCGGAGCTGGTACCTGCTATTCCATGCGTGCCGTCGTAAGCAGGGCTTGATGCGCCATAGCCGAGGTGGCAGCCGAGGGAGATAGTCCGCCATAGCGGACCTGAGGTTGAAGAAGCCGCCGCGCACCTGCAAGAAGACACGACGAAGAAGAAGATCACTGTGATATTCAACGACCTTGGTTTTTTCCTCAGTCAGAGCAAATGCAATGTCTTTCCCTCTCAGTCCAACCATTTCCTTGGCTTTATTTTGGACTCACATCAGAAGAGGATCAGGGTACCTTTGGACAAAGCAGAAAATATCATTAATCTTTTAAGGATGGCAGCAGACGAATCTCATCTGTCAACAAGGAAAGTCGCTTCATTGACAGACAAGCTTGTTTCATTATCCAAGGCCTTTTTACCCGCATCACTACATTGGTCTCACCTCCATGAGGCACCAACTAATTGTGACTGAAACGATAGAATAGAACTTTCTAATCAATTCAAGGAGGACCTCCGATGGTGGCTGGAGCACCTCCCCATAATCCCAGGAAGGTTGTGATCAGTCAGAATGGCTACAGTCACTATGCAGACTGATGCGTCTGCCTCGGCAGTAGGAGCCATAATCTTCTTTCATGATATTAACTCATGGAAGCTTAGCTTTCCCCTACCTTCAAACTTGCTGACTTCCTCAAACACTCACCGTGAGCTCTTCGCAGTAACAGGCTCCCTGTCCCTCCTTGCGGAAAGAATCCCGGAGAAGATTCAGTCCAAAGCAGTCAAGATAATAGGAGATAATCAGGCAGTTGCTTTTCTCCTAAAGAAACTAAGCTCGACAGATCAACTATTCAATGCCTTCCTTAGAACAATTGCGTCAATCTTACTGAAATTCGACTGCCAACTGCAACCTAGCTGGGTCCCAAGAGAACTGAATTCAGAAGCAGACAAGCTCTCCAACGTAATAGACCACTCTGACTGGGGACTCAGCAGGGAAATTGTAGGAGACTTGTTCAACAGATTTGGTCAACCCGCTATCGACCTTTTTGCCTCAGAAGAGAACTTTGTCTGCATTCCGTTTGTGTCCGAATTCCTATCGCCTAACTGTTTGGCAACGGACGCCTTATCTCTGGACTGGAATTCTCTGCCAACTGCTCCCTATAGATGGCTCTTTCCTCCGACCTGCCTTCTCCACCAAGTACTGGCCAAGATGAAGTTCTTCGGAGGAGAATACCTCCTCATTACACCGAGCTCTTCTAGAGCCCGCTGGTTTCCCGCTCTGGACTCCCTTAACGCAACAATAGTCATCAATTTGGAAAAGGATTTCGAAACTTGCTTCCCCACATCAAGAATCCCAAGAGGATCCTTCAATCCCGGAAAGACAGGCCTCAAGGTCAGTAGAATTTCCATCTGACTACTCAACTACAACCATAACCATATCGCATAAAGGAAGAAAAGTGATTCCAAGTGCCTTGACCTAGCATTCTCAACAAACTCCAACCAGCTTGAATTCCAGCACGAACCCCACCAACCCGAAAACTATGGTTACTCTCACCCTCATAGATACCATTGGCCTTCAATCTCTCCTTCAGTCGTTTGTTGAAGCCACTCAGACTCAAGACTCCTTTGGTCTGAGTGTTGCGAAACAGCGGGCCCCCGTCTCGAAGGTCGATAGGAGGAACCAATCGGCTATAACATTCTCGCATCTCTTCAACTATCTCCAGGAAAGAGGTGCCTTGACCTTGAGGTTCTTCTTGAAGACGAATCACCCCACACCTCCCTCTTCTCAAGGTTTTAGTATAACCAGGTTGCACACGCACAGTCTCTTCATCCACTTCCTCCCCCTTCAATCGCAGACCCTCCCCGCCTCGCTACCAACTTTTCCATAAATAAGTCATTATGCAAAGGTCACATAGCTCTTCAGCATATCGGTATCCACTCTTCGTCTTCATACTCTCACGCATACTCCGTCTCAGAATTTCCATTTTTTCGGGAGTCATAGCAGGTGCCTGATTCTCTCGAACCCCCATTTTGAGCGCATAATTGCGATACGCCTGGCGATAATCCCGTACCTTACTGTTGTTGCAAGGATTCTGCAGACCTTCTCGACCAAGAATGAGGAAGCACCGATTCAGGCAACTCAAACTCGACTCAATTGTGCTATAGGAAGGGAAAGGCTGATTGTTCCGGTCATAAGTTCGACTTCGCAACTTCAACTCAGGAATCCATTGACTCTGAAGGAAAGCTGTCACATCAAGATCTAAGCAGTTGCTAATATCTCGCCCTACCTGGTTCCTTATCAACCACTCACTCAATGATTGCATCATTCTTCTCCTCTCCCGCTCTCCGTTTTTTGGCAAACCATGCTGAGCAATTAGCTCTACGGAACCCTGTTGTCTAATCTCCTTCAATCCTTCTTGTTTTCAGTGATTTGTCAACTTCTTGATTACCATTGGGCAACCGACTCAGCCACCATTTCCTGCACACACATCAGATTTCATCAGATTGGGTGGATGTAGGTGGGGAATTTGGCATGGGTTAGGAGGTGCATGGGGGGTAACCCAGAACTCTCCATTTTCGAAGAAGGTACTTCAGAATGTTCTGCAATTCATTGGTCAGTACCCCTCTGAACTAAATGGTTTCTGTTGCTGAAAAATTATTTGCTCTTTTGTCAGTGTTATTCTTTCCCCTTGCAGACCATGATGTGTTGTATGGAATTGGAACCCCTTTCTTCCTACCCCTTCAGACTTCTAACTGAAAAACAGGCCACATGAACACACATAGAAGGCGTAGGCCTACCCGTACCATTGGCTGCAGATTCGTAGCAGCTAGATCCCCGCCGTACTCAGGGTAGACTAGACTCGGCAGTTTTAGGAGGAATTGTCAGAATGGTGACGACTGTAACTCACCCAGGTGATGAAGTCAAATCCAGCTTGAAAGCGACTGGCTGTCCTGCATCTGGACTTGAAGGAAGGCCAGGTTCATTTATTTTTGCAAAGGGTGGTTGAAAAGACTCGTGCTGGGCCTCGGATTTATCCCTTGGCTCTTGGATAACCATTGGGCCAATAAAAGCCCCCTCTCCTGCAGCGGTCCATTGAGACTGATCCCCTCATAGGGGAGGCCTACAATAGGCCATATTGGAATTGCAGGGACGACGCTGAAATTCGCCGTAGGACGCAGGCACTCCGGGGCAATCCCTAGGATTTACTATTTCAAGGCTGTTTTCCCAGAATGGAAGTGCCCTTTTGTCCTTAGCCTGCTCTTCGATTGCGACTGCGGCGCCGCTCCGTTCTCCGTAGCTGCAACGGATCTGGACTACCTTCATCAACGGTTCGCGACTCCCCGCGCGAAATCCTGGCCCGCCTACCCGTGCCCTCGGTGCATGGGGGGTACCCCACGACTCTCCATTTCCTAAGAAGGTACTTCAGAATGTTCTGCAATTCATTGGTCAGTACCCCTCTGAACTAAATGGTTCCTGTTGCTGAAAAATTATTTGCTCTTTTGTCACTGTTATTCTTTCCTGTAGCGGACCCACCAGGTGTGGTGCTCCGCTAGTGATAGAGATGGAGATGGAGGAAGAAGGGGGAGCGAGATGGCACAACGCAGCTCCCCACGCAAGACTCCAACGCACGTACTCCAAAATGTGCCAGTGAAGAATGAGACTGAAAACAGACAATGGCTGGGGTATACCCCAGCGGACTGACGGGACTGGACTGGACTGGCTGGTACCGACAGAGGTACCGGCCTGGACTGGCCTACCCCGAATACAACACAGGCCTGTGAGAACAGGCCAAGGGGCTGGTCTCATAGGCCAACCCGAGGTCCGCTACACGATCCTCGGCCTGTGATGGATTGCCTAGATACAAACATGCTTCCGCCAAGAAGCGGAACTCTACCAAAGAAAAGAAAACCTGAGTAGTCTAGGATGCGGAGCAAGCTCCATGTTGAGTCCATGCGATGCAACCTATGATATAAAATGTCACAAAACAACAATGTCACAGCTAACAGCCTAAGTGAAAGTAGAAGCAACTAACTAACATACATGGCCTAGGAAAGCAAAAGCAACTAACTAGCATACATGTCCTAGGAAAGTAGAAAGTAATGACAACTAGATCCTAGAATGTTGGAGGCACTAGCCTCAGTCTGGTGACAACTGACTAGTGTATAAGTCCTAAGAACAGCAAAAACAGAACAGCTAAATCCTAGAAATGTCGGAGGCAGTAGCCTCAGTCTTTGAGCAACAAAGCAATCAACAAGACAACCATATGTCACATGAGAAGTGTGTCGCACACCAAAGGGTGGGATGGTCTCTGAGGGTGGCGAATGCAGCCTAGGGGTCGAAAACTCCTAAGGGCATCCACACATAGTGACAGGGGAAAACACATGTCATCAGGCTCAATGAGGGTAGGGAACTGGGAGCGAACAGAACCAATGACCCTAACAGATAGACCATCAGGGCGGGTAATGCTCGACTAAGGGGGGACCGCTATGGAGGGTCGACCATGCAAGGGAACAAGGGAGTCAAGTATACTGGGCGCACCTAGATGAAGCATGCGGGGCTGCCTAACAAGGGCGTGAGGGTCGGCGAAGGGTAGAAAGATGATGGGTAAGGGAATCATGCAGATGACTCCTAAAGTGAGGGAAGTCGGAGCTAGATCCGTAAGATGGGAAGCCAGGGCAACGCTACGGTCCCGATGCCTATGCGTATACCAAGGGAGAGCCCAACTCAGAGGAACCCGACTAAAGGGAGACCATCATGCGACACAAGCAGGGTACTGTACAGGGTAGAGTGGTAAGAGAGTGGCGACGTCTGAAGTAGGCAGAGCTGATCGTGATGAAGTCCATGGAGCTGCCGATGACGTCCAAGATGAGAAGTCCGGAATGCCGTCGAGGAAGAGCCGCAGCGTCGACGAGCTGAAGTAGCAAAACTGATGTGGATGGAGTACTGAGAAGTCAAAGACGTGGGAAGGTAAGTCAGAGTCAATCGTCGTATCGAGCAGGACGACGACGAGTGCGCTGTGGACGCTCCGAAGCATCCGGCTGCTGCTGAAGGTCTGCCTCAGATGGAGCAGGCTCGACTTCAGCAGTCTACTCAGCCGGAGGAGAAGGAGGAGGGTCAGTGGGCTGAGGAGGAGCAGTGAACCCAGCACGACAAGCACGGTCATAGGCACGCACCAACATGCGAGCGTGCTGCAAGTGCTCGAGGGGCTCCCAGGTAGCCTCCTCATCAGGGTAACCCTTCCAACGTACGAGATACTCGACGTGGGGAGGGTTGTCGTCGGTGACTCGGCGACCAATGATGTCTGAAATGAGGAACTCCTCGTGACCGTCCACCATGATGGGTGGAGGGCGCTCGTATGGTCGTCCGGCGAAACGCTCAGACGGTCTGCGGTAAGGACGCAGTAACGAGACGTGGTAGACATCGTGCATACGTGCCTGGCGTAGGTAGTCGAGCAGCTTCACACGGAAGCTGACCGGGCTAGACGCCGTATCAGAACCGACAACCTGGAGGATGCGGCATGGGCCAAAGAAGCGACGCCGAAACTTGCGAAGCGTGTCCGCTTCGAGCTGTAAGTGGCGGGCGTCGATATGCACGTCATCACCGACTTTGAATGGATGATCCATCCTCGATCGGTTCGCACGTGCTGCCATGCGAGTCAGAGAAGCGGCTATGTGCTCATGTGCGGTCTTCATAATCGACGTCATGTGTGCAACCCAATCATCAAGCGCTGGACAACTCGTGTCGGGGTGCATCTGGGACGGTCGAAGGAAGTCCGCGGGAACACGCGGGTGGTAGCCGAGGTCGCAATAGTAAGGCGACATCCCCGTGGCTGGCGAGACGGCGTGGTTGTAGGCTATCTCCGCGTGGGCAAGATGGAGATCCCACTGCTGGTCGTGACGAACAATCTTTCGGAGAATATCCCCGAGAGTCCTGTTCGTGATCTCGGTCTGACCACCAGTCTGAGGATAGTAAGACGAGGAGAAGCGGAGCTGAGTGCCGTACACCTCGTGGAGCCGTCGCCAGAATCGGCTGGTAAAGCGCGGGTCACGGTCAGATATGATGCTCAGAGGTAAGCCGTGGTCACGCACGACTCGGTCAAACACGATGTCGGCGACCTCACGTGCACTGATGGCATAGCGGCATGGAACAAAGGGTGCACGCTTCATGAAGCAGTCGACAACGACCAAGATAGCATCATGACCGCGGGGGGTCGAAGGTCGAAGAGGACCGATAAAGTCCATCGAAATGGACTGCCAACGATCCTCAGGGATAGGAAGATGTTGGAGCAAACCATAAGGAAGGTGGTTTGCACTGTTTGCCTTCTGACAGGTGGGACACTCTGCGACGTTGTCCTTCACAAAGTCCTTGCGCTTCGGCCAGACATACAGGCGGCTCACACGAGCCAACGTCTTGTGGAAGCCCATATGACCGGCGGCTGCCTGGTCATGGAACTCTGCTACTGCTCGGACACGTAGCTGTCCAGAGGAGGGAACGCAAATACGGGGCTCTCTGGTGCCCTGTGAACCGTGCCAGTACACAATCCCGTTGTCCCCGAGAGAGTAGTTCGGGACGGTCTTGCCACTCCGAAGGGTCTCGTGGATGTCGCGATAGTCGGGGCAGTGGCGGTACTGAGTGCGAAACTCGTCGATCACCGAGTGGTGGACGGTGCTAACCGAGATGGAAGAGAGATGGATGTGCTCCTGGTCGTGGTCAGGGCGCCTGGATAAGGCATCTGCGACCCGATTAGTCTCACCCTTGATGTGCTCAGTGGTAAAACTAAACTCGGATAGATCGCGCCACCAGCGAGCCTGTCGAGGAGTGAGCTTCGGCTTTGTCAGAAAAGCCTGGACAACAGAGTTGTCTGTGTGCACCGTGAATGGTGCCCCGTGCAGGTAGTGACGCCAGTGCCGAGCGGCATAAACTACTGCGAGAAACTCACGTTCATCAGCAGTGTAGTTTATCTCGGCGGGCAGGAGCTGACGGGAGTAGAAGGCTATCGGACAATCACCTGAGCGAGACTCGACAGTGCCGTCCTCGGCGATGGTAGGAGAATAGTCAATAGAGGGCTCGTCGGTAGCTGGATGAGTAGGCGTCAGTCGGGAAGCAGTGGTAGCGGTAGGTGGTGGGAAGCGAGGGATACGAGGATGAGAGGAATCAGGAGAGGACGGAAGACCTCATAAAGCACTACTCCTACAGCAAAGTCTGACGCATCGGTGGTAAGGATAATAGGGCGATCAAAATCGTGTAGGTGAAGAACCAGTGCGCATGTCACCGCCCTCTTGAGGCCGCGGAAGGAGTCCTCGTGGAAGGGTGTCCAGGCCCAGGGTGGGTTCTTCCGGAGGAGGGTGGAGGTAAGGACGTAGGAATACCTAGCGTATCCCCGGATGAAGTTATCATAGTAGCTGGTCAGGCCTAGGAAGCTGCGAAGCTGCTTGGCGGATGTGGGGGCGGGCCACTCCGCAATAGCAGTGATCTTCGCGTCGTCCATGTGGAGACCCTGGTCAGACACGTAGTGTCCTAAGAAATCCACTTTGTGTTGTCAAAGCGGCACTTGTTTAGCTTGGCGTAGAAGCCATGTCTGCGCAAGCGGTCAAGGACGTCGCGGAGGTGTCTGAGGTGCTCCTCAAGGGTACAACTGTAGACCAGGATATC